AGATAAGGTCCTGCCTTCACATTGAGAATAACCTCCATCGTGTAGTGTGGCACTATCACTGTGCTAAATGGGACAGACTTCAAACAGATCTAGCAGCTCAAGACTAGGCATCCATGAGGTGCTGTGGGCCATCAACAGCAGCAAAATTATACTCCAGCACAATCTGTAACCTCATGGCCAAGAATATCCCCCATTCAACCATTACCATCAAGCCAGGGTAACAACCCTGGTTCAATGGGGAGTGCAGGAGGGTATGGCAGGAGCAGCACTGGGCATACCTGAAGATGAGGTGTCAACCTGGTCAAGTCACTGAACAGGACTACTTACACACCAAACAGCATCAGCAACAAGTGATAGACAGAGCTAAGCGATCCCACAACCAATGGATCAGATCTAAGCTCTGCAGTCCTGCAACATCCATCATGAATGGTGGTGGACAATTAAACAACTCACTGGAGGAGGAGGCTCCACAAATATCCCCATCCTCAATGACTGAAGAGCCCAGCACATCAGTGCAAAAGATAAGGCTGAAGCTTTCGCAGCAATCTTCAGCCCAGAGTGCTGAGTGGATGATCCATCTCAGCCTCCTCCAGTGGTCCCCAGCATTACAGATACCAGTCTTCAGCCAATTCAATTCACTCCACGTGATATCAAGAACTGGTTGGTGACACTGGATACTGCAAAGGCTACTGGGCCTGACAACATTCCGGCAATAGTACTGAAGACTTGCGTTCCAGAACTTGCCACGCCCCTAGCCAAGCTGTTCCAGTACAGATACAGCACTGGTATCTACCCGACAATGTGGAAAATTGCTCAAGTATGTCCTGTACATAAAAAGTAGGACAAATCCAACCTGGCTAATTACTGGTCATCAGACCAGTAGTGTCCTCAGCCCAACCATCTCCAGCTGCGTCATCAATGACTTTCCCACCATCATGAGGTCAGAAGTTCGCCGATGATTGCACATTGTCTAGCACCATTCACAACTCCTCTGATACTGAAGATCATCAGATGCCATTTCTGCCACCTCCAGCAAGATGCCACCACCAGACACATATTCCCCTCCACTCCCTTGTCCGCCTTCCACAGGAACCGTTCCCTCCGGGACACCCTGGTCCACAGGGACCGTTCCCTCTGGGACACCCTGGTCCACACTTCCTTCACTCCCCACAGCCCTACGGCACCTTCCCCTGTAACCAGCGAAGGTGCAACACCTGCCCATTTACCTCCTCCCTCCCAAGTATCCAAGGGCCCAAACATACTTTCCAGGTGAAGCAACACTTCACCTGCACTTCCCAGAATCTAGTCTACTGCATTCGCTGCTCACAATGTGGTCTCCTCTACATTGGGGAAACGAAGCATAGGCTTGGTGACCGCTTTGCACAACATCTACGTTCTGCTCGCAAAAAAGACCCTGAACTAGCCGTTGCCTACCACTTCAATGCACCACCCTGCCCCCTGGCCAACATCTCTGTCTCTGGCTTGCTACAGTGTTCCAGCGAAGCCCAACGCAAGCTGGAGGAACAACACCTCATTTTCCGCTTGGGGACCCTACAGCCCTCTGGACTCAATATTGAGTTCAATAATTTTAGGGCCTAAAGTCTCCCCTGTCCCAGCCCCCCACCCCACACACCAGGCCTTGTTACCACATAGCCTGCCACTACACACCCCCTGTTCTTAGTCACTAACAGTCCCCATTAACAACTATTCATCCTCCCAGCCTGATCGTTAGCAACTCCTTTGTCTGTCCAACTGTCTTTCTCTCTCTTCGGGCTCTATCCTATCATTTACTCCCTACCTCACCCACCCCCCTATTTTCTGCATATAAACTGACGTTTTCCCAGCCACCATCAGTTCTGAGGAAGGGTCACCGGACCCAAAACGTTAACTCTGTTTTCTCCTTCACAGATGCAGCCAGACCTGCTGAGATTTTCCAGCAACTTTGTTTTTGTTCCGGCCAATTACCGCCACATCAGTCTCCTCTCGATCATCAGTAAAGTGATGGAAGGTGTCACTAACAGCGCTACCAAGCAGCACCTGCTCAGCAATAACCTGCTCAGTGACGCCCAGTTTGGGTTCCGCCAGGGCCACTCAGCTCCTGACCTCATTATAGCCTTGGTTCAAGCATGGACAAAAGAACTGAAGGTGAGAGAGACAGCCCTTGACATCCAGGACGCATTTGACTGAGTGCGGCATCAAGGAACCCTAGCAAAACTGGAATCAATGGGTATCAGGGGGCAAACTCTCTGGTGGTTGGAGTCATACCTGACACAGAGCAAGATGGTTGAGGTTGATGGAGGTCTGTCATCTCAGCTCCAGGACATCTCTGCAGGAGTTCCTCAGGGTAGTGTCATCAGCCCAACCATCTTCAGCTGCTTCATCAATGACTTTCCCACCATCATGAGGTCAGAAGTTTGCTGATGATTGCACATTGTCTAGCACCATTCACAACTCCTCAGATACTGAAGCAGTCCATGTTCAAATGCAACAAGATCTGTACAATATCCAGGCTTGGGCTGACAAGTGGCAAGTAACATTCATGCCACACAAATGCCAGGCTATGACCATCACTAATAAGATCTAACCACCATCTGTTGACATTGGAATACTCCCCACTTGCCTGGATAAGTGCAGCCCCAACAACACTGAAGAAGCTTAACACCATTCATGACAAAGCAGCCCGTTTGATTGGCACCACATCCACAAGCATCCACTCTCCACATAGTAGCAGCAGTGTGTATTATCTACAAGATGCACTGCAGAAATTCACCAAAGATCCTCAGACAGCACCTTCCAAACCCCCAGTCATTACCATCTGGAAGGACAAGGGCAGCAGACACATGGGAACACCACCCCCTGCAAGTTCCCCTCCGAGCCACTCCCCATCCTGACTTGGAAACATAACGGGAAATATATCGCCATTCCTTCGCTGTCGCTGGGTTAAAATCCTGGAATTCCCTCCCTAAGGGCATTGTGGGTCAACCCACAGCAGGTGGACTGCAGCGGTTCAAGAAGGCAGCTCACCACCACCTTCTCAAGGGGGCAACTAGGGACGGGCAATAAATGCTGGGCCCAGTCTGCGACGCCCACATCCCACGAATGAATAAATAAAGAAGTTGATTTCTTTACAGAATAACGGAGACCTGGAGGTGAATTACTGCACAGTCTGGTATCTAACAGAGTGGTGCGGATGCATTAATGTAGCAGAGCACCACTGCACTGAGCATGTGTGAATTGTTCACCACTGCACCATCCATCGACAAACCCTGGACCAATATTTCTCATGTCGTGCACATTGAAAAAATCTTTCGGAAGCAGAATTGCTGCTACATATCAGGACGGGTGCAAACAGCTGCCCATCTGCAATCAGGTTCTTCATAAGTTCATTCCCTGCTTATCCCTCACGTGACAAACAGAGATGACATAACCTCAGAAACACGCAAGGAACACTGTGTCATCAAGCAGCAAGAGACATGAAAGGTTATTGCTGGATTGTTCAACACAGAGGGGGTCAGGGATTAATACATCCTGTTAGAGAATACTGTAATTTTGTTACAGCAGTGTCACTTCATTTATAAACTTTGTCAAGCATTTCTAACAAAAACCCAAGATAATGCAATAATCTTGGTATGGTATAAGGTGTAAATACTATTTCCCACTGCATTAGTTTTCTTTCACACTTCAGTAGTGAGAAGTATCGAGCTCACTTCAATGAAACTTTCTGCCTGTTGCTTTACCTGAAAGGAATCAGTAATCGAAACGATGTGGCCACATTCCCTTGCAACCGACTACAGACAAGTTCTTGAAGCTTGATTCCTGCATATCACTGGCAGGAGCCTACACAAGGTTCGAAACTCTGCTGAATTATTCAAACAGCCATTCGTGTATATTCACTCAATCATTCTCTTTGTTGCCCTGTAAATTATGAAACTTCTACCTTTCTTTCCCAACACTTCCAGTGGTATCGTGCAGCAGATGCAGCTGTACGGTATTGGCCTGGTTGGGTTGCCTACAGCTTTACAAAGATGGTAATGGGTACAGATAGCACTGGGACAAACAGCATTGAACGCATGGTAAAAACCGAAAGAACTGCAGATGCTGTTGTGAGGAAGAGTCACTCGACCCAAAACATTAACTCTGTTTTCTCTCCACAGATGCTGCCAGACCTCCAGAGCTTTTCCATTGAACAGATGGTAATGGTACACGCAGTATTGAGAAGGTAGTGTACACAGTATTGGACAGATGGCCATAGTATAGACAGTATTGGGAAGGTATTCTACACAGCATTAGACAGATGGGAATGATATAGACAGTATTGGGAAGGTGGTCTGCACAGTGTTTGACAAATGGTTGAGGTATAGACAGTATTGGGAAGGTGGTCTGTACAGCATTAGACAGATGGGATGGTGCAGACAGCATTGGGAAGGTAGCGTTCACAGTATTGGACAGATGGGAAGAGTATAGATAGTATTGGGAAGGTAGTGTACCCAATGCTGGACAGACGGGGATGGTACGGGGAATATTGTATAGGCAGCACTGCATTGATAATTACAGCATATTTCAGCTTTTTTTTTACACCAATTCCTTTTGTTCATTTCTCAAAAACGCAATTATCAAAGTCGAACTAAAAACTCTGACAATCGTTCCGAAATCGGAAGGAATTCACTGTCTTTGGTATCTGTGCTTTCAGATGAGCTCTGGTCTGTTGTTTAAAAATCAGTGACAGTATAAAAGCACGTTCAAGATACTTCCTTCTCTGCCCGTGTGTGTTTTGTTTGCTTCTAATAACATCAGACTCACAGAAAAATAATTTTTTTTAAAAAAAGAATCACAAAGACTTCCAATTGCAAAAGAGATATCAGATTGTGAAGGAACTTGGAGTGAATTTTAGATTGACTGAATATCTTTTAAATACCTCGAAATATATATTTTGCAAGCGATTGCTATTCGGGGAGAACGAAGTGAGAAGGGACGGGGTTTTGAGTTGAGTTAGGACTTACCGAGAAGCCTCAGTAGGAGGGAGATGGTAGGTAGAAGCATTCTGCAGGTAGCTGTCTCTCTCAGTTAGGAGCTGTTTCCAGTGTCAGTGTGTCCGCCCTGGGCTCCAGGAAGACAGGATTCATATACAGCCTCCAGCTCTCTCCAACAATACACAGCCCCTTCCCAAATCTCCCACTCCCCGCGGCAAGGAGCAGAGAGAGCTGTCCCAGCCTCCGGGAGAGTGCCTGATCACACAGTCCCCTGCAATGCTACTCCGGGCTGGAAACGATTTCCCCAACTTGTCATTTCGAAGCTGGAAATTGCAACGGGGCATCCCGCGGGGCTCGGCGTGAGCTTTTCATCTTCCCCCGTTGGTCGGCTGCTCGGGAGTAAGAGGCAGAGCGTCCCCAGCTCTCCCTCTCTCTCCCTCCCTCTGCCTCTCTCTCCCTCCTGTCCCTTTGTGCGGCTGGTTGCTGCTCACTTCGTACCAGCCTCACGCCCAGACACGTGCCAAAGGCAGCAGCGACCCACAGGAACACAGCAGGGACTGTACAGGCACTCTCACACTCACCGACACACTCTCACACTCACTGACACACTCTCACACTTACTGACACACTCTCACACTCACTGACACACTCACTCTCACACTCACCGACACACTCTCACACTCACTGACACACACACTCTCACACTCACTGACACACTCTCACACTCACTGACACACTCACACTT